TGTTCGAGAGACCGATGACTACAGTACAGAGTGCTATGAAGAGCTTCTGTGATGGTTCCCACTGTTGAGGTGGAACATGACAACCTTCACACGGCCAACCTGTTGTGTGTCCTTCCGGAAAGTAAACTATCGATGTCACATCTGCGGAACAGCAACGCCAAAAAACTCATTCGCCATCAAAACGCGCACATAATGTAGATGTAACCGTTTCGCTCTCTTTTTTCGTTGCTGTACTGGTCCCAATATTACCATTAATAATATTACTTGATTTGTAGAACAAGTCTCCGCGCGCCCATCAACGCATTCTACATGTAGCTCTGTTATGACCGGCCATTGCCATCCATGAGGCGGAAGTCATGCGCTAGGAACTGCCATGACAGACCCATGCCACTCCACCGGCAGTGGTGTAGGGAGTCGCATCATAGCTGAGCCAGGTCATCCATCACTCGAGTGCCGTGGGGTTCTGCTGGGAATGGCCTGCTCAAAACTTTCTCAAATAACTTCGAGCAGAACTACCTCTTCTCAGCACTATAGAGTGATGTCTTATCTCCTGACGAAAGGTTCAACTGTGCTGAGAATTCAAAATTTGTCGTTTTCTATTTCATATTATTCAATTATGATGAAAGCTTGGATTGTTCGACAAAAGTTTCTTCAACAGCTTGCAGCTCTTTCGCTTTGAAACACGTGTCTCCGTACAATCCTCTAGTTGCCCATGTCCTGTTTCTTGTACCTCTGTTGGTTAGCAGTTACCGTACAATGTGATATATTATTACTGTGTTGACATTATTCAGGGTGTTTCAGCATTACACAACCTTGAATGAATGCCACTTGTTCCATCGCCAATTGTTGCAGAGCGATGATGCACTTTAAGCCTGTTGGCTGATTGACAGCAGGATATTTTAAAACCTTCTTGAGGTTGATTACTCCTCTGATGATTTGTCAAATTATAATGGAATGCAAAGCAAGGCCCTTTAGAAGACCTTAACGGTAGCAAAAAGAAACGAAATGCATGATTGCTAATCACCTCGATCCGCATGACAAACCGCACTAAATTTCTATGCCTGACGTCGGCGCTTTTAATAGGTGTTCAGGAGTTTCTGAACTAATTACGTTGGTGGTGGCGTTGCGTGAGACAGCGTTTGTGACGTCGTCGCCTAACCTCCTTCGTGCCATGCAGCGGGGCGGAAGCACTCGCACACGTACTT